AGCGGGGGGCTCCCGCGGTGGCCGGGAAGCGGCAGGCGCCCGCGGGCCAGCGCTCGGGTGGCAGCGCCACCCTCCGGGCGCGTCTGGGAGGTGCGCCCGGGATGCGCCTTGGGCTGGATGGCCAGCAAGGCGTGGTGAGCGGCCTCCTGGTGGGTTCAGCCCAGCAAGGCCACCTGAGTCTTGGGGAGCGTGGTATGTAACTCTCTTCCTTCGCTCTGTTTCAGGCCGGGACCCCTGTGTCCTCCGAGGCTCTAGGAACACGTTCTTGCCTTCCTGTATCGTTTGTTAGCGTGACCAGTGAAAGTTGCCCCACCTTGATTCTGTCCCCAGTGTTTCATCAGTAATTAATGGAGTCGTATTGCAAGAGGACAGACTTGCGGAGTGACTGGCAGATTCGGTCTCAGAAGAGGTGTCTTGGGTTGTCTTTATCTCAGACACAAGTGCAGTCTCCGGGCGTTTGATACGGTGGGTATGGAAGGTTAGGAAGCCGGAACAAACTGTCTGACAAACATCAAAACGTGGGCTTGTTTCTAAGGGAAATGGTAGAGGGCCAGGAAGCATTAATTAAGCAACCGTAGCCTTGGTGTGAAGGTCAGTGTGCAGGGCAGAGGATATGGTGCCAGTTTTTACACCTGCCCCTGGAATAAGGAAGAACCACATACAGCCAAGGTTTCTGGGCAGAAGCTAAGACAATGATCCTTTGTTCACTTATTTTAAGGGATTTCTGCATATATTTTGTACCTGTCTTTTTACTATATATCCCCAGAGGGTGTGGCTGAAGACTAAGCCTACGCTCCACAGAAGGGGAATGGATCAATTGTTTACTAGTTTCAGACCGAGTCAATAGTCAATACAAAAATGTAAAAAGAAAACAAATGACCCTGGAACTTAATTGTCTGGGTTAACCATCCTGACACATCCAAATGTATTGCAAAGACTCCTTCCCTCAGTTCATTAATTTCAAAAACAGAACAACTAATTCTTGGCCAACAATCTCTCAGAGTTGCTGTGAAGAGGAAACAAGATTATGTAGGAGACAGCATTTTAAGTTGTAAAGTGCTATACCAAGGTCAGACGTCATCATTGGAGTGACTTAAAAAATTGGAACATTACAAATATCACCCTTTGTCTCCTATTGTGTAGACACAAAGTAAACAGATGACTGCTGTAAGCAGAGAGTTAGATAAGACTGTCATAGGATTTGTAAAGAAAGGAATGATACACTTCTTTTTTAAGATAGCATTCTACTTACCACATCAGTCACCCAGCTTAGAGCTGTGATTTCTTAAACCCTAGCTCCGTCTAGTGGTTCTTTGTTCTATTACAAATGAGACAGCACTAGTTAAAGAGAACTTGACTCAAAAGTATTTGGTGCTGAGCTAAGCTGGTTTGGTGTCTGCCCACTTCGTTTGAATAAAACGCTTAAGATTGTGTTATAGCACAAACATGCTCAAGGGGAGATTTTTCATAAAAATATTAAAAACCCATCACGCAACCTCATAATCCTGCTTGTGAAAGGAAGATAAAGAATGGGAGAAGAAACTACCATAGAGAGTTAATAAAATTTATCAGATTTTAATGACCTCTCATGTTCTGTGGCTTAAATAGGAAGGGAAACAGATGATATTCATTTGAGCTGAGAAATGTAAACGCTTTGGTGCACTACCTGATAAGAAAAAGAAATAAGGAGACGTCTTCCATTTTGAATGTGTTGCTACAGTGGCTCCCAACATGTACTGTGGGGGGGGGGGTGCCTTTTTGCATACTATAATTTTAGTGGCACCCATGAAGAAATCAAAAGATGTTAAACAATAAAAGTCAGCAATCTTTTATCACCGTGTGACAGTGTCTCACAGTGTCTATGAAGGCATATCCAATTATTCCCCACTCCTTTGGCTGACCTTTGACACATCTGATAGTAGGAATAAAATCATGTTCTTCCCTGTCCACATTCTCTTCGAAGTTTACAGGTAAATTTTGCATATGTTCCACTAAACACTTCATCTTTCTTGGTTCTGGTTGATTGGACACGATGCTGCCTACCTCTTGCCACTTGCTGCTCCTCCTTGACATTCAGTTCCAGCGCTGCTCAACTGAAAAGTTCTGTCTGAGATCTATCTCTGTAATAAAAGAATCTCAGTTAAAATAAACATTAATCCTACAAATTTGTCAAATTTTGTAACAAATTTGTAAAGGATTCACAATACACCAAAGTGTCTTGGAAAGTCACTTGAGAATTCCTGTATTTTTGCATAACAGACAAAGTCTCTCTTCATTTAAGGGGACAACTTTAAATAACAGTGACCAGAATTCCAACTGAACTGCCTCTGTCCTTCCCTGCAGAAAAATGGACTACAATTGACTAAAACTTCAAACAAGAAAGATACAGTCTGAAATAAAAACTTTTAAATTTTTATTCCAGTCTCTAGCCTTCCTTTCCTCCTCAGTGACTCTCCTCCTGTATTCCCTCAACATTTTGCTTACCCTTCAATTGTAACATGCTTATGTCTGTATCACATAGTAGATTATGAGCTCCTTGAAACAAATTGTAACAAGCCTTGTTCTCACAAATATAATTAAGCCACATTGTAATTAGTGAGTTCACAAAAGGAACAGAAGTGATGGAGACATAAAACTACAGAGTACACAGAGATGGAGGGCTGAAGATTGGAAAAGAGAAGAAAAATCTCTCTCCAGCAACAACAAAAAAGGTCTATCAAATGAAGAAAAAGACAATGCCATACATCAGATGGGGGCAAATTGTATCATGTAAAGATAGGAATTGTACTTGTCCTTTCCTCAAGCTACGGACGACAGATCTCAGAAAGCCAAGAACCCCTCAGATATAAGAGAATTGCCTGTGATTCCTAGAAGGCCTGGGAGCCAGAAGGAACAGGCCAAGCACGCATCATCATTAGCAACTTAAGCAGAGGAGAAACCAAGTATAGAAGTGACTTCACTACTTGGCCAGCATGAGAAATTTCAGCTTCTATAGCTCAACAACTACAAACTTCTATTCTAATAGACTTATGGAAAGAATGCTGGGTAGGCTATATCCATTGTAAAAACCTGTTCTGTATCATAAATATCTCCCCCCAAGTGCTGGGAGAAGGAAGAAAAATCTGCCTCAATGGAAATCCTAGTTTATGAATCCTATTGACTAGTGTGAGTGGAAGGAGAATGCACTAATGAGGATATGCACTCAACTGTGACTAACCCAAGAGACATTTTTAAGTGTTTGTAGAATTGGGTTATACGCTTCTAAGTGCCCAAAGCTATTATCCTTCTTTCTCATTTCCTCTTATCAAAAGAGAAAAGAATCTTTTATCACACTCCTCCCCCAATGGGAAATAATTAAAAGTCATTTACAACAGTCTCGTTTTATTATAACACACATTTTACATAGTCTAGCATATACCAGATACTGAAATAGGTTCTAAAGATAAAAAGATGGTTATGATTGGCACCTGCTCTCAATACATTTAACAAACATTTAATGAATACTTACGTTTGTTGTGATTTATCTTCTTTTAAGCACTTTTCTCTCTCTGTTGTGCCCTCTAAATCTTGCTTTCTTTGTAAATAAACAGTCCAACTTACCTCTTCACAAAGACTTTCCTGCTTCCTCTTAATTGAGACCTGGCTCCCCTTTAAGGTCTTGCAGACCTGCAGATCTCATTTCTTTGAAATATATTTATTCTGTCATAGCCCATGTACCTAGAAGCCAGAAGTCGGAGTGAGAATTTTTCTAGTGTCTCACTGCCATATTTAAACCACTATTCTCTATTCATGTAAAATTTCCCCAACTTTGAAGTTCATAATCAATAACAACATCACTCTACTTCTTTTCAGTTCTTAAAACAGGTTTGAGGAAAATTGTATTCAGTATTGTAAAGGTTGACTTGCTTGAGGGAAATTACAGAGAAATATTGAGTAGGTAGTTGGATAGACAAGTCTAGAACCCAGAAGAAACATCTAGATAAAGCCAGAGGCTGAAAATCACCAGTTTACAGCTTTCAAAGAAGATTGTAAAAGAGCAGTTCAGAAGTAGGGAGAACTCAAATAAGTGGTTTTGTAGAAGTCCAGATGGGAATGGTCTTTAGATAAGAAGAGTGAAGAACAGCGTCCAATGTTGTACACCACAGAGACAAACACTGGAAAATGTCCACTGGGTCTAATGATTAGTTGGTCTTTGGAGACAGTGGAAATGTCTTCAGCGGAATAGTTAGGAGAAAACCAAATTGCAAGAGGTTTTAAGATTAAGCAGAGACATACAATCAGATGGCAGACTGAGCTAAAGTGCAGTGAGTGCTGCCTTCTTATCCCAAACATATAAAAATGCCAGGTAAGTTCTTTTTAAATATATTTTTAATATATTGCTAGACACAAAAGCAAAAAGTAAATTTCCAGATGTCAAAAATAAGAAGAATCCACAGCGGTTAGTGGGAGTCAGTGGTGGTGGTAGTTGAGGGCTGAGGAGGACCCACAAAGAAATGAACTTTACAGGCTGGAGTTTCAGACGTGTGATGACGTGGGCTAAGAACACAGACTCATATCAGAGAAGAAA